CCTTATGTTTTTTGTTTGTTTTTACAGAGCTGGGGATCAAACTCATGGTAACTCTTGGTATGACCTCAGACAATTATATTTTAATTGATTATTCATGCTGCATTTTATTTGAGAACCAGAGTTCCAAAAATAATAATTATGCTGGATGTGGTAATGAATATCTGTAATTCCAATATTCAGGATGACTGTGAATTTGTGGCTGACCTGTGCAAAATAGCAACATACTGTCTCAAAAAAAAAAAATCAAAGAGTTTGCAAAGCAGTGCACTATACTAGTTTTACTCCTTCAATTTCTTTGGCTTAAACTGCTATTAAATTTCATCTGTATTTATTCTTCCTTTGAAATGTCTTTCATATGCATTTCATTCAATTTTTACAGTCCTGTTCATAGGTTCAGATACTCAAAAAAATCTGGTTTCTAAAAGCTTGGTTAAACCAGAGAATGCCAGACACAGTAATCCATACTTCCTGCTTCATCCCCTTGGCAAGTTCTGCCCATGCCAGTACTACCTGGCTTTAGCAATCACAACTCCAAGGGCTCCGAGGAAAGACAACATTCTCAGCAGCACAAATTTGATTCAGCTACTTCATCCTTGCAAGTAACATTTTCTTTCAGTAAGACTTCCCTATTCTTGCTGATAAACTATAAATCAGGACTTTGAAGAGAACATAAAAGAAAACTAGTTTTTATCAATAATTGAACCATACTGAAGGAAATAGGAACTGTAAAACTAAGTTAGTCAAAGGTGAGTCAGTGAGTGTTCTCTCCAACCCTACCCCACTAGCCCAACAGGTTTACAAAAATAATAATGCTATTATTCAGCTACTTTAAGTGGTTGTGAATTAAGTGTCATATTCAAGAGAAGAGCATGAACACATGTTTTCAAGTATGAAGAATAGTAACTTAGGAGATAGGTATTCCAGTGTTTCATACTATATTTATATAGAGGTATCTAAGAACTAAAGACTTGAAAAAGAATTTTATGGGAAAAGAAAGCTAGTATATATGTAAAATTCTGAATGACTTGGCTTATTTTCAAATCCCTTTATTTTAGGAGAGAAATCATTTCTATAAACTTTCCTATAAATAGCAACGGCTTTATAATGTTTTTACTAAATGAAATAAAAAGCAAAATAGGAAAAATTCCCACAGATGTAAAAAGCAACCATAATTTGTGATAACAAATTATCAGGATAGGTATTCTGTGGACTGTTTAGAGAAACTTACAAAAACAAAGTAAAATTAAAAGTTGTTAAGTTTTTTACTCTTCAGTCCCTCCCTTACACTGACGATAAGAGTGGCATGTTCTAAGAGTAAAATGGCTACAAGGTGAGGAGAAAAGGACTCAACTGGTTTTATGTTGCTCTAAGTTAGTCTGTATATGAATTTTGAAAATACAAAGGAAAAGCAAACTTACATAAAAGCCAATCTGCCAGTGATAATGAAGTATCGTCTTAAGTATGTAGAACCACATGAGCAGTGAATCTGGCCCTTCACAAAATAATCAGAATTAATGTCTTCAACCTCAGACTCAAATCTCCTTATCCTCTCTCTCATGCTCAAACATATGCTAAGCAAAGAATGTAATAGCCAAAAAGAGATACTCATCTCCCATAATTGCCAAAAAACAGAGCAGTGCTGAGGATATTTACTCTGTGACAGTTTTCAGAACCTTAAAGAAATAAAGCTATAAGCAAAATTTCAAGATCACCCTCTAGATGAGAAAGAACTTTCCCCTAAAATAGTATTTAACAGATAAGCCCAAATTTAGGAACAGAGTTAAATGACAGCCTGTCCAGGGCAAGTTAAAAATGTTTCTATTTGAGAACCAAATCAAGCTATGCTTTTGGTTTTCAAAAGCCACACAAGAAGATTTCTTTATTGGTCAGATCAGCCAAAGCAGGGGATGATTTTCACCCATGTTGCAAACGGAGCAAAGAAGTGGGACTAATAGGAGACAGTATAGTGAGACCTGCAGGGATGAAGAATGCTGTAAAGAAAACAGAGCTTTACGGCAGTTACTGGGGTTTGATCTGACCCTCATGCTTGCTAGGCAGGTGCTCTACCACTTGAACCACATCACTAGCCCTAAAAGTCTTAAAATGTACTCTTTTAAACAAAAAGTCTACAGAAAATGAGAAAGCCTTGATATGAACAAACTTTAGGGCACTACCCTCCTCCAAAAATTAAGAGACCAATTTAGAACATGAAAGAAAGAACAGTAAGCACAGAATAATAAATGATGGCGAATGTATTTCTGGTTCTATGTATATTATCCCAGATAGATGTAGTTTATAGATAATTTGAATGAAAGATAAAAACATTTTATTGTCTTTAGAAAGAATCTACAAAAGGAACCAAGAATATGAAGTAAAGAAGGAAAATGTATTCTCCTTTTATCAGTTCTGCCTAGAGGGTACAGTGGGGGTTGGGGGAGAGAAGCCTGGAGGAAGAGCACAATGATGGGGCAGAATTGAATCTGTTTTCAAAAGCCACCTTTCTCTGCAAAGGAATCCTACTGACTGCTTTGCCATGGTTCCTCAGAAGTCCTTACCTTCTTCTAAACTATTTTCTATAACATGAGAACTCTGGCCTTTGCTTCCACCCCCTTTCAGATGTTACTAAACACGCAAAAAGGCTAAGCCATAATTGGCATCCTGACAGAACAAAAAGAAAATAAAACCTCAAAAGGGTCAAAAGCTACATTTTTGCTTTTAGTCCCATTTTGTAGTCAGTGACTGCACCTTGTACTTTAGAATTCAGGCTTGTCATTTACTAGATTATATAAATTCAGGAAAGTTTCTTAAGGTCTGTGTGTTTCCCGCTACTCCCTCATCTACAAAATGAAGACAGTAAGACTGTGAGGACTGATGTGAGATATTTAAGAAAACATTCAGGTTAGTACACAGTATTTAGTAAATTCTCAACAAACATTAACTACCCAATACACCCTGCTTAAATCCAGGATTCCTCCAAGTTCAAGCACAGTTGTTTATCCAATCAGTGGGATTATAGGATCATGACCAGTACTTTTAAGAAAGACTTCATGGCTGGCCGTGGTGGTTCACTCCAATGACTCTACTACTCAGGAGGCTTAGGAGGATCACACATTCCAGGCCAGCCTTGGCTACATAGAGACTCTGTCTCAAAACTCACACACACGCACACGTACACGCATGCGCACGCACGCACAACCAATAATTCACTACAATGAAAAAATAACAGAATGCAATCAATATTTTTTCAAAAATCTTTTTGTCAGATACACACCCACCTACCCATCCATTCACATGCATATACTGTATTTTTTAACTTAGCCTCATGCTGCTTCTCTGTGATGCCTTCCTTAAGTAACTTTCAAGAGACAGCGTGGGAGCATTTTGTATAAAATCTACGACACTTAATTATATTGTGCTTGCTTATATGTATCTCCAAAGAAACTGCCTTATATTTTCTCTGTACTCCTGGCACCAGAACATCAGTAAATTTTGGTTGAAGAAACAACTAAATCATCAACACTGAGTAAGAATAAACATATGAAAATATTTAACTACTTTCATTTTGGTCTGATCAGGTTTTATTATTGCACAGAAATTTAAACTGGGTGAACTTATAAATCACACAAAATCCACAAAACTATGTCTTCTCCTACAGTACTTAGTATATTCTCTTCCATCTGAAAGTGATGAATATTTACTTAAAAACTGAAATGAGTGACTGCAAAATCATCTTTAAAAAGCAGAAAATCAAGGTGCACAGACATGCTGCACATAAGTTTTGCAGTACTGAGGGTTGAACTCAGGGCCTCTGAGCCATGCTGTCCAATCCTTTTGCTCAAGCTGGCCTCAGACCTCAATCCTCGTACCTACCCTCTACTTCCCTCATAGCTGGAACCACAGGTATGAGCCACGGTGTGCAGCTTGTTTTAGAGATAGTTCTCATTAACTTTTTGCACAGGCTGGCCCCAAATCTTGATCCTCCTATCTCTTCCTATGGAGTAGCTGGGATTACAGTCAAATGTCCCACAAACTGGTTCTCATACTCATGTATATTTTTAGGGGCAAGAAAAGCTAAAGCAAAGTGATTGGGAAAAAAGATTGTTACTAAGTAACAAATTGTCAAAGAATCCCTTCTCAGGTTCTGCATGTACCATGAGAACATACCTAAGTACCAAGTGGGCAGGTATTTGCTTGAGTACTTAATATACAGAAATATGAAGAACTTAAAATATTTTTAATATTATCACCATCATTCTCAATTCTATTCAAATGTAAAAATCAAGGTTCTATACATTCACCAACTCTGCTTACATTGGATCTTAAAAAGTAAAACACTATAAATCAATTCTAAAGAAATACCTTTTACCATGCTTAAAGGTGTTAAAAGTCAAAAGTCGACAGTCTATGAAATCAAACTTATAAAACTTGATTTTACATTTGTCAAAAATTGCAGATAAATACCTGCTTTAAAATGAAACTTAAATTTTTAAAGTATGGATTCTTTTATAGTGATATTCCAAAATATTTTTTAAAAAACATGAACAATTTGACTGACAAATTGGCAGTTCCAAACATTTTAAGATTATATCTCTCTTGGTATGGTAAGCTATATTATGAAATGGGGGTGGGGTGGGATAGAATGGTATGGTTACCCTTAGGGCTCAGGTTAATTAATTAGTCCACAGACTAATTAATATGAATAATAATTTTATCTACCCTAAACTTGTTCAAATGCCTAAGGAAACATCTATTTCAGAAAAGCTTCCTCCTTTTGTCACTTAAAACATTTACTTTAGGTTATTATAAAACTATTTCAAAGGAATTTAGTGGGTTTGGACATTAAAGCCAAGACTTAACATTAGTAAAGGAAAAAATAGTTGTGATTTATGGTCTTAAGAAACAAAACCAATGAAGTGGCAACAAGTTGTTATTTTTAAAAAAATCTTCCCTACAACTGAAATAGTCATTTTAATGACCTCAGGAAGGGTGGCAACACTCACCAGTATGAATCTTCTCATGTCTCTGTAGCAGGTACTTCTGTATGAAACGCATGTCACATTGACTACATTGAAATGGTTTTTCGCCTTAAAATAATTTCACATCCATAAATTAGTTAATGGATAAAACAACAGCTTTATGTTACTATTTCTCAGGAAATATAAATCTTAGACACCTAATTTTTGGAAAATTCTAAAACATTCATAAAAATTTTTATATATTTTTTTAACTTAACAGAGCATTATTTCCTCTCAAGTTTTTTCCCAGGATTAAAAATTCATATTCTCACAAACACATAAAAATGAGACTAAACTTGATCTATAGCCTTCAAAAGAAAATATTCAAAATAGTTGAGAAAGCACTCTACCAGTGAGCATGAGTGTAACCTTAACTATCTCTTTTACTTATCTGGAGGAATCCTATTCTCTACTCTCAGGGGCTAACCACCCCTTTTTGCCCTTTCACCTGTTTTCTTCAGCATCTTCAGAACTATCTAAACATTCCTTTTCAAACTTTCCCTCTCAGTTGGAGCCCTTCCTTTAAAGAAGTGTATTGTTTGGTCTGCTCCATGCTGAGAAGCCATGCTTCAATCCACCTTGGCACTTTCTCCCCCCTTCCCTTCCACCACAACACCTTACAAGAGTAGTCTACCCAAGTCTCAAATTCTTCACTAATCATTTGTGCTTTGATCCTTATACTCTGCTTTCTGAAAAAATACTTGTGATCTCCTTGCTATTTATCCCAAGGTTCTTCTGTTTATTTTAGGAGGGGGGAGGGAAAGGGGACTGGGGTTTAAACTCAGGGCTTCTTACTGCTTACAAAGCAGGTGCTCTACTGCTTGAGCCACACCTCCAGTCCATTTTGCTTTGGTTATTTTGAAGATAGGGGTCTCAAGAATTATTTGTCCGGGTTGGCTGATAAATACCTGGCCGATCTCAGCCTCCCAGGTAGCTAGGATTACAGGTGTGAGCCACCAGCGCCCGGCTATCCCAAGTATTTTTTTTTTCTTAGTTCTCTACCCCTCTCAATCCTCTGACAGTGCGACATGGTTAATCACAGCCTTCCTGGGATTCTCTTCTTTTGGTTTCCGGGACATCACCAGATACTTTCCTGGTCCATCAGTCTTCTCTTATTCTGTCTCCCTTGCTCACCCACCTGAATTTATCTAACTTGTCTAGCTTGCCTTCCAAAGGTCTGTGACCAGTCTTTAGTTCTGTTCTCAACAATTTCATGACCTTAGCTATCACGTTTTTATATTTGACTTCCAAATTCACATTTTAAACTCTGCTTGGGTATCTCACACAGAAAAATGAATGTTGGTAGGCTTTTTAATAACTCAGTCTTTAAGCATTTCTCTAGCTAAAAGGAGCACTCTCAGCCAAATAAGTGTCCAATTAAGACTAATTAACTTTACAAATCCATGTTAATTATTTCTCATGTAAAGTCTTTCCTGGTTTCCTTACAAGTAAGAAGCCTGATTGGCAATGCCAGGTTAGCTACATCTTAGGAATGGATGACATTTATACAAAGATGAAATAACAATGGCCATAAGCCCATTTTAATTCAATACCTGTATGAATGAAGACATGTCTCTGTAAGTGATAGTTCGTTCTAAAGGCAGCATTGCAGTGCTCACAAACGTGAGATTTAGGGGTTTTCAAACCAAGTGATCCATCCTCATTTATTGTAAGGATCTAGTTTAAAAAAAAAAAAGGCAAAAACAAAAGAAAGAAGTTTTAAAATGTAATTAAATACTAACTTTAAAAAAAAGGATAATATAAACAATGGTCACCAGAGGTTATAAAATTTTTCATAGATAATCTTGAAAAGACTATTAGAAGTTATCTTTAATTGTAGGAAAGCACAATTTGACTCTGAATGAGTAAAAATCATTTATGGAACCTTCAAAGCTAGTTAAGTAAGAGCTCACCATTCTGCCCCCTACTGTGTAATGCCGATGGCTACCAAAGTCCCTAAGTGTTCTCTGCTAGAGTGAACACAGGTATATTATTAATTTCAAATTCACATATATGTAGGGGGAAAAGTCTTATGTTTCAGACATGATCCAAGTATCAACCGGTATGGGATTGGTTAAGTAAATCATGGAAAACAAATACAACTTAAAATTATGTGGTCATAAAATAAATTGAGAAAACTATATATACTTACATGGAAAGTGCACAGGTTTTGATGTTAAAAAAAGAGATTTATAATCCAATTTTGATAATTTCTGTATACAAAAGAATACATATAGGAATATATATTTGCTTGTGTATGCATAAAAAACTACTTCAGAAGGATATATACATATATATATATATATATATATATATATACATAAAATGTTTACAGCCTTGGTTGTGATGTTTGGGGAACCAGGCAGATTAAGAGATAAGGTAGGAAGAAGACTTTATACTATACACTTAAAACAATTTTTTAAAAACATGTAAGTGCCTGTATATTACACTTTTTCAGTTTTGGGGGAAATTTTTTCTTTTTTTCTAATACTGGGGGTTTGAACTCAGGACCTCATACTTGCTAGGCAGGTGCTCTACCACTTGAGCCATGGCACCAGTCCTTGTTGCTTTACTTTTGAGATAGGGTCTTGCTTTATGCCTGGGCCAGGCTAGAGCGGATCCACCGATTTACACTTCCCAGGTAGCTGGGATGACAGGTACTGCCACAGTGCCATCACTGGTTGACATGGGGGTCTCCTGAACTTTTTGCCCAGGCTGTCTTTAACAGCAAATCTCCAGATCTCTGCCTCCCAAGTAGCTAGGATTACAGGTTTGAGCCACTGCATCTGGCTATTTTTTTTTCTTTTTTTAAAGAAAATTAAGTTTTCTGGTTATCCTACAGTAGAATCTGGAGTCTATTTCAGTTTAGAATCTCTAAGGTTATTCTAAAACTACTATTATTTGTTGGATAAATAAATTAAAGAAAGGAATAGGGAAGGAAGATAGGAAAAAGACAAATCAACCTTATCAGCCTGGGATTCTTGAAATTGAGACTATTTTGAACCTGGTCTGACTAGTTACCAGAGAAAAGCTTACCTTCAGCCCCACATATTCTAATTTATCAACAACTTCTTCAACATGCAACATTTAACTGCCTCTCATTAGACAAGCAGCAGAATGAAAATGATAAATGATCCCTGTTATCATTACTGAGCAGAGAAAAAAGACGGCAGAATATGATATGCAAAAGCAAAGAAAACTAGAAGATAAGATCAGGAGGGGCACAGCCGGTGAGAAAGGAACAAGATTGGAAGTAAAAGGCATACAGAATGCGAGCTAAGAAACTGCACAGCATAGGGAAGAGAAAACCTGGGAAACATCCTAAGAAATACAAAGGATTATGGAAACTGACTAGGGTCTGCAAATACACAGCTATGATGCCTTTTTCAACCTGGAAAGGGGGCATAGGTAAAGAAAATAAGGCTTTAAGCTTTAAAAATAATTTTTACTGTAAATTCAGGGAGACAGTTCAGCCTATACTACATGCAAATCAATGGTAATTATATGCAAATTATGTAGGGCATGTGAGTTCTGGGCAAACTGCCAATGTGGTCAACAATGCTTCAAGTCTATGCACCCAAGTCATAGAAGGGAAACATTTGGCAGAAGAATGGAAGTGGGTATCATAGCTTCCTGAACAGTGAAAATGGAAAGTTTCATCTCTGGCCAGTCAGTTTAATTTTTTTTTTTCAACTTCTCCAATAATAATAATATGCAAGCCAGCACTATGCAAAAAGAAAAAACTCAAAAATCTTTTAAAATATGATTCAAAATATTCTTGACATAAAACAAACAACAAAAAGATATTAGGTATTTTATATAAAACAATTTAAAAGATAGCACCATGGTTTTTTTTTTTTTCTTTCACATATATCTTTAACAAACAAGATCTAAGTGTGTTCCAAAAACCTTGGCAGTTCAATCTCTTTCTGTGGCACAGCAACTGCAAGGATAGGCTTTGTAAGGCCCAACTCTGGCCTAACTTGCTTACTGTAAACCCAATGGAATTCCTGACTGTACTAAGCCCTGATGGACAGTTAAGGAGTTCCAAGTCATGGTTCTCTGGACTGGAGGTCATTCTGCATTCACTGTAGATTCAGGTCTTAATTCCAGGTGGAATTTTTGGATGAAACAGCTACTACTGGGTGCACACACTGGAAAAATCTAGCATACAAAGGCAAAATCAAAGTACAAAGGCAGAAACATCAAATTCTTGGGCCTTTTATGTTCAATTTTCCTTTTGTTAAGCCAGAGTAATAAACACCTTTGAAGGACACAGACAAAATCTACCTTGCCTTAAACAGTCACCAAAGGCGCTTCCAATTTGCAATCTGTTTTAAATGTATCCACATGATTTTTGTCTGCTTTATTACCTGCTATAACCTGAGTGCAAAACGGGAGCTTGGAGCATAGCGGCAGCTCTTCACCTACCTACTGACACAATTGTCTGCTATCCACACCAAACATCCCTCACAGCTTACCACTTTATTCTTCTTGTAAAAAAAACAAAAAAAATCTCTGCTGAAAGTGGTATTTTCAATCTTTCTGTCTTTAGATCACTGAGTAGACATCACAGACAGTTGGGCGTGCAAAGAGCAAAGCCCCTTAGTGGAACAAGCTAACACATTAATACAAGCAAAACTTTGTTTTTCAGTATAGACTTGGCTTCTTTTCTTGTTTCCAGCCTTTCAAGATCTTTTAGTAGATTGTGACCCACTAGGTTAATGTGTTTGCCCAAGATATTTAACAATCTTACCTGATACTGGTGTTATAAAATATTTTTGCTTTTTTTCCCCTTCAGCAACATATGAGCACCAATACAACAGAAGAATCTGAAATTTCAAATTTTAAATCCTAAAATGCCTACTACAGCATCTTTGGATGCTGAATCTTGCCTGTGTCACTGGTTTTTCACCAAAAATATGGTATATTATAAAGATTATTCAAACGCTACTCTTCCAAAGAGGAGAAATTAGTAGTAATCTAAACAATACCAAACACGTGATTTTTTTTCTTATCTGTTTAATAAACTCAAAACAGAGTTACAAAATCCTATTTTTCCACATGGAAAAAACTCAGCATCAAATGGAATGGCTCAGTTAATCTACTTTCTTAATCCCATGGTCTACAATCGGAATATTTTGTTTTGATAAAAATCTGTTTTTGACTATAGACAGACAGATAGATGTGATGGTTATCTTAAACACTACATCCATTTTCATAATGCAAAGCCCTAAACTTTGCCTATTCAACTGAGAGACTTCACTCAAGTCTCACTGCCACTGAATAACTAAAACTTGACACCCCTCAAAGAGAAAGTACTGCTCTCTTAAAAGGCAAATGTGATTTTCCACATTCTCTATATATGATGAAATTATTAAAGCCTATTTTAAACTAATAACTATGGGTTTTATCATACATTCCTACACCAATTGAAATTGACTTCTAAGCCACTAACACCCAAAAGAATTTAGAGTTTAAATTCTCATTTATTGTAATAGAGAGATTTTTATTAAATTAAAACTAAAGGTGAAGAGAAACAGCTATTAAAACTCTCTAAGAATAGTGCAATTCCAACAACATGTAACAAATCATCCATCAGCAACCATCAGTTTGACTATCCTCCCAATAGCTAACATTCCATCCTCATACTCTCTTCAGAATTTTTAATGGTTTCTCTAAGCTAGATTTCACTCCTGGCTACACTTCATTTTTAAATGGTGAGCTTTTGACAGTACAGAAACATGAAACTCACTGTAATAAGTGTAGTACCACAACTAATATTCAGCACGATGACCCTGAGTTTTATAAAAAATTCTTTCTTTCTTCTTTCCTAATCTTTTTTTTTAAGTTTTATTGTTTTATTATTCATATGTACATACAATGCTTGGGTCATTTTCTTCTTTCCTAATCTTAAAGAAGTATGTGATATTTTCTAAAAGATTTATGTCATCAGAATTTCTTTATGAATTCAGTTCTGTGGAAAACAACTTACCCAGAGCACATTAGCTCTCTGGGAAAATTAGATAAATAAAAAACTAATGTATTATTTTCTTAATTTTCTTCATTTTCTCCTAAGTATTAATTCATATTCCCTTTTTTCACCCCAACCCAGTCTTTTTTTTGAGTTCATCCTCAAAGCTACTTCTTCCTAAGTCAAGGTAATATGTAGAAGAAAGTATGACATTTACCTCTTACCTTTTAATTAAAACTTCCTTACTTAATTTTAAATCTTTTTGACACCAAAATCTCACATCTTCTCTGGGAACTACAGTGTGTAGCAAGAATGTGGAAAAGAACTTTCTATATAACTCATAGTCTGTATGTGGAATATGTTCAGCATAATTTAATCGATCTCTATTCACACCACCTAAGAGTTTTAACAAACAAACCCAGGTCCTTTCTTCAACACCTACAAGAGACAGGGCATATAGAAAGCACTCAAATTATTTGTTGAATGAACATTTCATAATAAAAAGAATTAAGAGGGCTGGTGGCTCATGCCTATAATCCTAGCTACTCAGGAGGCTGAGATCTGGAGGATCATGATTTGAGGCCAGTACAGGCAAACAGTTCACAAGACCCCCACCTCCAAATTAACCAGAACTAGAGCAAAATAGACTGGAGGTGTGGTTCATACTGTAGGGCATCTGCTTTGCAAGCTTAAAGTCCTGAGT